ATCTAAAAGAGGGACATCAGGAAATACAGCGAAATAGAATTGTACTACTGAAGCCCTATATTTCAATCGGAAACCAAAGTAACAGTAATAATAGTAGTACAGAAGTTCTGTTTAATTTTACTGAGGATAGAAGGTGTAAAGTGCTGCGTACTTTAGAATAAAATATTTAATTTCTCATCTGGTATTTTATTTATTTATTTAAGGTAACCATTTTTCAGATTGTGTACTTGAAATAGTGCTAACTTCACCCATAAGTATACCTTAGTCTACTGTTTCTTCAAATATTATACTCGTTTATTTCCATACAACATATTTTTTTGGTATTATTTCGAGTTTTGAGTAGGACACTATGCTTCAATCTTGAGCTCTGCAGTTTCATGAGATCAAGGTTAGCAGCTTCATCCTCAGTCTTCCCTCTCTTTTACCAGGCCTACTACTGAATAAGCGAAGTTTAGGATGGGAATCGGGCCCCGGACCTCGTGATTGATTGGTAAGCATTCTACCAATGAACCAGCGGTCGGCAAAATTATTTAACATGGAGTTGTACTGTATCATAATGCGGAAATCTTACTGTCAGATCCCACTGTTTGTGATTGATTATTTTAGAATCTATATATATGGCACACATATGAACACAAGAAATTTAAGGTTAGTTTTTTTTGGCTATGCAGAAGGTAGAATTCAAATCCAGCTTTAGGATAGACTTAGTATCAAACAAATTTTGACTACTTTTTTTCAAGTATTGGTTTTGTAGGGATTTTGTTTTGATTGGTTGGAGGATTTTATCATGAGCTGACATTGGTTAGAGAACTATTGGATTACCAACCAGGGAGTGCTGGAGAGCTGTTTCGTCCTAGTTTGGGATTCTTCATAATTACGCACCCGCCAGTCCCAGTGGCTTAATGGTCCACGAGCTCGCTAGCCTTGTAACCAGAAGGTCCTGAATTCGAACCGTGGTGGTGGTTGGGATCTGTGAAGAGTCCCATACTAGTCTGGCGAAACAGCTGACCAGTACACCCTGACTGGTTTACTAATTGTTCCCTGACTGATGTCAGCTCATGATGAAATCCTCTAACCAATCAAAATTTTGATTGCTTGCTTGAAAATCAGATATAAGTTTTCAAAAATCAATCCAGTTAACCTTTCCAATAATATTCTGTTCTTCCCAAAACTGTATGTGAATAAATATGACTTCATTAGAATGAGATGGCCAAACGTTTGATGGGTAAAACATAATTTCGTGATTGTGTTTTCATGTAAACCAAAATAATTCGGGACAAATAGCTTTAGTCCTAGAATTTATTTTGTGTTCATCAAGTTTTTAGCATTTAACTGGGAACATTCTATCACCTACTTTTTTTGCTGTTTTTCTCACTAGCCTCAGCCCCTTGTAAGCACCCCTGAATTCTAATCAAGAATTAGAAATGAAAGAACCTCTGAGTTTATCTATGATGTGTTAAATGTAGAGTGCGAAATCTTGACAAGTAAACAATTGCCATACCCTGAAATGTAAATTCCTACAGCTTTTTAGTTAAACGTTTCTAGCTACTGACAAGTAGTTCAAATTGTTAAGTGAAATTTGTATCTTGTCTGAAAATGTTCATAGAAAATCCCATTGAAACATTTTCCGCAAGTCTCTAACAATTAAATTGTATTAATTTAAGGTGGTATGGTAATGCATGTATGGTGAGCAAATCATTTCAACTATGGACGAGACAGCTGACGATTTCAAAGCTGGTAAGTATCAGAAAAACAAGATAGGCTTTCATTCCTCTGAAATCAGTGTGGAGATCTACAGTAGTCATCATAGGGAACAATTGGGGGATTATGTCTAACACTAATGCCAACCCATTTACTCTTCATAATTCAGAGAATAGACCTGTGTGTCAGGAAGAGAACTGTAAATAGGCTACCGCAGAATTTGCCGAATTTAAGATGGCCGGATAAACGAAAATAAACTTTCACAGCTAACCCAACAAATATGGGGGAGAAAGTGGTGATGATTGAATTACACTTGTGGTGTTACATGCTACGAGATCAAGTTTAATCAAGTTGGACGCAATGGGCTGAGTGTCACAGATTAATGTGAAGAATAGAGCGTAAGAAGGAAACGAAAGCTTATTGAAAGTTGTAGAAACGTTTGGATGTAATGTAAAGGAACTTGGTAAAGTGGAAGTGAGCTGATGAGGCCCTACATCTTACCAGATATCCATGGGAAGAAAAATAGTAATTTTAGCATAATGAGTATTACGGATTACTAGAATGAACTTATTATGTCGAGTGTTAATCGGTAGAAACTGCTTCAAGTAGATTTCGAGCATTTTATACATGACAGTAGGAAAACGAACTGCGTCAGATTATCATTTCACTTGACTTTGAGTTCATTGATCGCTGGGCATTTGACCAATCGGTTTTGGTCTAGTTTTTAACAGAGTTTGTTAGCCAACTTTTGCAGATTGAAACTATACGTAAAAGGCATTCTTTACCATGAAAGTTGATCAGGTTACCACAAATTCAATGTCCAACAAAATTTGCAAAATCTATCAGCTTCAAAAAGTTTTTTAGACACACAAGAAGAAGACACAGGATAATCTGAAATCACTGTGAAAATCTGCTGCCCTTAGCTTAAAGAACAAGATTAGGATTTTCACTAGCGATATCAGCTCAGTGAAAAAACATGGTTTAGGGATTTGGCGAGCACATCACGAAAAGCATTTCCAATAGGCTACTGCATACTTTTGTCAACAACTACTTTCAGTAACTCAATACTGAAGATCAGATAACGTGTCAGAAAAGATAAGCAACAAGGAACTCTGACATTTCGATGAACCAACCAAGAATCTACTGTCCAGCATATATGCAGGAAATAAAAATCAGACATACTCCAGGGAGACAGCTGGGAGATAATACGCACCCAGCAAGCCCGAACGGGAAACGATGAGCTGGGCGTTCGTCTCGGGGAGGTGACATAGAGGAGACCATGTGAGATGGAAATGAAAGCTCATAGGCTATAATGAAACCAGTCAAAGAAACATGCAGAGAGGACAGTGTAACGTTGATGTTTTGCTGAAGCCCTATGTTTCACTGGAAATCCAATGGAATGATGATAATAACAGCAGTATGCATAATTAATGACAAGTGAGTAAAGCTTTCCAACTGTCTTGACCTAAAAAAATGAAATATTGAGAATATCTAATTTTGTGTAGTTATGATGTATGAGTATATTTGAGATATTAGCTTATAATTATCAAGAAAACTGAGATCCTAGTTTTAAATGTGCATCGGATTTAAAAAAAGAGTAAACAAAAGTATAAGATTTTTCTGGCGTTTCAATTCTGGATCTAACCCTCATTGTGGTCAGGAAATAATCGCGACGTTTAACCTTCAGAAAATTAACAACCAATCAGAACAGTCAATTATCATAGGTAACGTTTTGCCTGAAGGTTAAACTTTGAGATTATTTCCTGACCACAACGTGGACTAGATTCAGATTTGAGGAAATAAACACTTTTACTTCTGTGGCCAATGACTAAAAATGTTGTTTTCAGTTTTGGCTAGTTTCTGTGAATCTGCATCTAAATACTACTGATTATTCTTGTAAGTAGCACAAGCTACACTACTACTACTAATTTGGTGAGAGCTGTCTTCAAGCCAAGATTGTAGACCCCGATTCACGTCAGTGTTTACGTCCCGAATTGGGGTCATGAGAAAAAAACAATAAGAAAGCTTGACCTTGAGGAACTCAACAACCAATCACAACAGACTTAACGTGTGCAAATACGATTCACAGATATATGGCTTAACTTTCTAAGAAACGGTGAAAGTAGTGCAGAATAACCTTCAGCAGGAACACAACCAGTCAGAAGACGTTGTTTCTCTGCTGGCAAAAACGCTAATAATAATGTACATAAACATCGATAAATATCAGTTGATTTTCTCAATCGAACCCTGATTCCCCGTTACCCGTTATTATTATGGTAGGCAGATCACCTACCAACAAATTGATAGGGCAGACATTTGAAAGATCCGTCGCCGACACCAGGCCGACTGCGATCATTAAAGTTATCCAGAGTCATTACAGAATTCAAAAGAGACAGCCGAAACTGCCCCCGGTTGGTTCTGTTCTAATAAATGCACCCGTCGTTCCCTTGCGGGTCAGGGCATAATTGCATGTATTAGTTCTAGAATTACTGCAGTTATCCATGTAGCATATATGATCTAAGGAACCATGGCTGATTTAATGAGCCATTTACAGTTTCATCGTTTTAAGGTATGTACTTAGACATGCATGGATTAATCTCTGAGACAAGCATATGACTGCTGTCAGGATCAACCAGTTTATTCACACAGTGATACACCCATTGACTGGGTAATGGTTTTCAGGAGAACCAAACACACCCATCCCTGCCTCTTGCGAGACGAGATAGGCATGCAGGATCATCCTGTGGCGCAACCACTCGAGAGCCCTCTCCCTCGGTGGACCATTCACACCGTTAGTATATTAATGATAGGTAAGCATTGTTACGCCGATCATTGATCGCGTCAGTCAGTTATGCACTGCATAGACAAGCCCAATAGGATTCATCTCGCATACAAGACTAGCCAAACGTATTATTATATTCAAAAGTAGCACGCATAGCAACGCTATAGTGACAACAGGCCCCTATAAACGAAGCCAGCAGCCACCAAATTCAATGAAATCGTTATCCCTGCCGACCAGTTTAGCATGCAAATAGCTTCTATATTTCTGCCAAGACTATAGAAAACCATACGCAGTCATATAAGCGAGCCATGAGCACCAGCTAACTCACGCTCATATTGTCTATATAGCTAATGCAAGCTCTTGTCTTCTGTCGTTAAACGACTACTTCTGGTAACACTCCCGATTTCTAGAAAATTTAGTCTTCTACAAAGAAAAAAGCATTTATACTTAGAGTTAAGGCAATTACTAGATAAAATGAAATAGATAAACTGTTTATATTAGTGTATATAAAACATACTTTTATTGTTATTAGCAGTAGAATTGTTGTAGTTATTATTATTTTGAAAGTGTCTCATTCCACGAGCTCTATCCGTTTTGTATGATATACTAGCTCTATGCATATAACCAATTGGATCACGGGTAGCTGGAATGTGTAAAGAAAAGAGCATTATTATTGTGTAGGCGAATAACGGAGAGGATAACAGAAGGAAATACATCAGCAACAGTTTAAAAAACCCTTCTCCAGTTTAATTTTTCCTGAACTATTTTGTGAAGTCATTTTTACATTACAAAGGGCATTACAAGCTGTCAGTAACTGATGTCGTGGATATATATTTGAACTCACGCAAATAATTGGTGAATGTCATGTCGTCGGACTTTGAACATCTCGTCTGCACACAAATCCTCCCTTGCATCTCATCAGGTAGACGAACTCGGCAAGCCTACTGTCGCTTTCTGGAATATTGTCCAACATAGTTAGGTAAAGGTGTCATCAAGTCAATCTGAAGTTACATACTGGCATACCCAGTGGATACGGAGAACAAGATTGACAAACATTCAGCTTTAATAGTTCTGTACAAGGTTCCACTTCAACTCTCCGGGCTGGTACACCTTCGGTTGCTAAGCATAGATGAGGCGGTCGCTATAAAGATTTTGCAACTCATCTCTGTGTTCCTAAAAAGTTTGTTCTCTCTGTCTCCTGCCATTGTACTTCACTCCTAACCTAAAATAGTTATCCCTACCATTGATACCAAATAACTATAGATATTATAATAAAGGTTTTTGTATTTCCCAGTGAATGAAAAACAAAACGATATTGTTGTTTTTACTGATGTTTCGCTATTTAAGGCTGCTACTACTGTCAGTAGCATGAAAAATAAGATCCGGATTTTCAACTCCAGTGTGAGGTCAGTGCTACTATACGGATGGATCAGAGATTTGGCGGGTCACGAAGAGCACCTCAAACAAACTATACACCTTCATCAACAACTGTCTTCGCTCAATCCTACTCAAGATCAGATGGCCAGCCAGAAAAAGTCAGCAACAGGGATCTCTGTCAATGAACAAACCAATCCAGCAGGAACCAATTGTGCAACAAATATGCAGGAAGAAATGCAGGTAGTGGATTATCCATACTCTGAGAAAACAAACCATCAAGTGAGTGAAATCACACAACAGGCCATCACTTGAGTGGAACCCGAATGGGAAGCGGCGAGTTGGTCGTCAGTGTGAGGGTGGTGTGACATGGAGGAGATGATGCGAAGAGGAGATGAAAGCATGTGGGTAGACGTGGAGCCTGGTGAAAACATTGGCAGAGAACTGAACGCAATGGAGATGTGCGGCTGAATCCCCATGTTCCTCTAGGAATTAAAGGAAATAATAATAATACTTCAGCTGTATGCTGCCATTCATTAGTGCCAAGTGAGCATCAATACTGGCTTGTTTTTTGAGTAGATTTATGCTTCCAACAGATATTCTTCAGCTCGACAAAATTGATCATACACTGTATAAATAATAGTCATCGTTATTCTGAAGTGTAGTGCAATATCGCTTCCATGGTACACACGTTGACGGTGAAAATGTTATACTGCAGTAATGATACCAGTTTTCATGTATTTAGATATTCTGTTGAAAGTGTTCATATCGGCTGGGGACTCAATATTCGAAGAAATTACTAATGAGAATATTCCCGATAAATGAACTGTCCAATAAAGGAAATCAATTTGCCTTGGATCGCATTATCATCTATTGGAAAGACGTCATAGGAATTCTAGCGGAAGGGATTTGCTGGTGTTTAGTCAGCCTTAATTATTATCTTCTACTCCTGATTATGGCAGGCTGAACCATACGAGAAGGAAGACCGGTTTACATTTGACCAACAAGAAGACTCTGCAAGAGCTGGACTTCGTTGATGACTTAGTTATTTTTTTTAATTTTTGTTTTACTATAGCTTGACTCCACACAGTATTTTTGATACAAGTATGGAATTTTCAGCAAATGATATCAGGCGTGCATCGGCAGGGTATCGAACCCCGGACGATGTGCACGGTCGGCGAGCGTTCTAACCTCTGTACCACTGATGCACACAATGTCAGGCATCTGCAGGTGAGAATGAGCGAGTTTGCAGAAGCAGAAGAAGCAGAGAAGATAGGACTTCAAGTGAACATAGAGATGACATTGGAGAAGGAAATACCAAACAAACAACAACGGGCATCAATCACTATCAATTGGAGGAACCTAAAGGAAGTCACTTGTCTCACTTATATAGGCAGTATCTTTTCAACTACATGGGGCACGGACGAGGATATTCAAGGTAGGATCAGGAATACGGGACAGACCTCCTTCAAGCTGAAGTCAGTGTGGAAATCTAGTGTACTCAGCCTAAGGAACAACAGAAAGCATTAAAGATGGATGGAGAAATACTGAATAGATTGTTAAATGGTACTGCGCTACCCCAGGGATCGGAATTTGTGTAGAAGACGAAGAGTCAGGCGTTCAAATGGGGATGCTGTGCTAGGAGGAGACTAGAGTTTATGGGCTATCGCGAAGCAAGGTGGAAATTTCTACAGAGAACGGAACGAAATTCCGGTTAGCCGCTGATTTCCTAGTTTCCACTTGAAGATCGAGGGAATTTTTTTCTTTCCTTCACGTTCCCCCGTGGAACACAAGGCTTCAAGCTAGAAGCCTGAAGTTTCTGTAGCAGTGCTTATTTTTACAGGATGGGGTTGCTAGCCTCATGCCCAACCTTTCCTCTTCACCAGCTTTATTTATGGCTTAGCGAGGTAAGGGAGTGCGTCGGCCGGGGATCGAACCCTGGACCATGTGCATGATTGGTGAGCATCCTAACCGCTATACCACCGACGCACGAAGACCGAGGGAATAATAATAGTAAAAGTCTTCTGAGACTCAATAGTAAGCGAGTATATAAATAAGCTGCTACAAGAAGTGTACACTTCTGAATAAAAAAATGAATCGAAAGCTGCTTACCCCAGGTTTCTTTGTAATGTCTTACAGACTGTGATCGAACAAGTTTTGTCTCTGGCAGTGAATGTGTTATTGGATCCGTTGCAACTAAAAATTTAAAAGATGGTGTAAATAGGAAATATATTTGCTTCTTTTGATCATATTTAATTTACTTTATAAAAGTTCGTGTCATAATTTTTAAATGATTATGGCTAATGATAAAAAAGTTTTCCTTGTAAGTAACTGTGAACTATGGTCTTTAGGAAACAGTAATTTCAAAATAATATTTATTTTAATATTATTATTAGTCCCTTGGGTTCCGAGAGGAACATAAGGCTTCAACAGCAAATGTCCACTTTCTTCTATTTTTCGCCGTCCTCTTCAGCCAGGCCTCTCCAAGATTGACTGAAACCTGTCATCTTCTCCTCACCACACGACCTCCACGGTGTCACCCTCAGACGACTCACTCGTCTTTCCCTATTTAGGTTCCACTCACTTATGGCCTGAATTACGCAGGATTTCATTCAGTGGTCTGCTTAGTCTGTGCCCAATCAATATCTGTTTTCTCCCACATATTTGCTGACCGACTGGCTTTTAGCTGCTTCGTTGCTAGCCAGAGTTTCTTGTGACTAATTCTTTCTGGCTGGCTGGTTGGTCATTTGGTCTTCAGTATGGAGCCAGCCAGCGAATAGCGCAGCTGTTGATGAAAGTCTGCAACTGGCTGTTGGAAATCCTTTTAGTGAAACTCAGCACAAGTTTCTGACCCTTATAGAAGGACTGACTTGATATTTGCGTTGAAAATCCGGATGTTGTCCTTAATGCTGACTGAGTGAAGTAGAAGATTTCCAAACTGGTTTCAGGTTGATGAAAGTGTATCTTGCCTTTCGGATTCTGGTTGACTGGCTGGCTTTGACATCTTCATCCGTGGTGACTGCCTGTGGTTGAAACGATGCTTCCTGGTTGGATAAGGGAAGGAAGTGACCTCTTTCAAATTTCTCGCGCTGATAACGACTGAAACTGGTTGGTATTGTTGGTTGGTTGGTTGCCCTCATCACCTCCGTCTTCTCTGTGTTCACCGGAAGTCTTGTCTTCTCTACTTGCCTCTTCTGCCAAATTGTTAGGTTTTGCCTGCAAGTCTTCGAATTTGTGTGATATTAAACACAAATCAACCACTTCCGAAATCCAGATCTTCTAGAGTCTTTTTGTCTGCCCAGCGTATTCGGGTCTTCTCAATCCCTGTGCACAGTCTGACGTATAATCCAGTTCACCACAATTAACATTTATTCTACTGAAATATATTAAGTAGTATGAAAAAGGTAAAAAAACGTTTGAAACATTGACTCAGCAGTTAGTTTCCAGTATTTTGTAGTAGATGGTAACTGCCAGCGAAATCCAAGATTCACATCCCGTCCTATTTCAGACTCAAATAGGTGGTGTTTCCACTTAAACTAGAACCCATCAGTCATCATTTCAAACACCAGAACAGCGTTATTCTCTAGGGTATTTGGTTTGCGAAACTCACCTATTGTGCAACAAGTATCAATTAGTATTTAAGTTAATTTTGTGATTCCTATAAACAGGGACAGAAAATTTTGGCCCAGTATAACTAATTAGTGGGATATGCAAAACTAACTCCCTTCGTTTTTAGATGTATCCAAGTCATTTTTATTCGATCACAGACAAACAATTCATGTCTGGGTAAATTTCACCCACTGAAAAATACCGTTTCTATGTGTATCAACTTAATTTTGAGTTAACAACAAAATTCCCATCGGTAGCTAATTGCCTAGTAAATAGGTGTATCACCATATGGCACTGGTGGGCCAGTGAAAGAATACTCACCAGCTACGGCAGGAGGTCTGTTTTCGATTGCCCTTCAACACACTCTTAAACCTTCCCTAATTTACGAGTCGGTAGTAAACCAGGAAAAGAGAGAAGACTGGCCACAGGAGTAACAATCCGACTCCATAAAAAACACACCATAACTACTGGAACTTCAAAGATAAAAGCATGAGGCTGTGTATTGCATTCCGATTGTAGCACGAAATCAACGCGAGAAGAAAAGCTCTTAGATCTAAGACTCTCTTTTCTCTAATACTATTAAAATTTAAAATAGCTTTCATGGATCTCCTTACTTCTACGAGTCGCTGTGTAGATAGAAGTCATGCGCACCTATAAGTAGGTAAAACTACACAGCCACTTTCCCAAGACAAATCAGTGCTATGAAGAAAATAAAAGACAATTCATTGAAGAAAATTCTCTTTATCGACGAAATCATCTTCAGAGACTGTACAGCCGTATTTATATTCACCGAAGATGTATAGTAGCCCATTATTGAGTAATAGGGGTGATATAATTGATATAATTACTCGGAACTGTTTTCCGATCAGCTACTTAAAGGAACCACTATTGAAGTGCACTTTACATGTCCAATTCAAGTTCAACAACACGCTTTATAGACAAACAGATGGAGTGGGAATGAGGTCACCATTGGGTTTTTTACTTGCAGACTCCTTCTTGGCAAGTCTGGACAATAGTATGTTATGGCCTACTATCGATAATTTCCATTTGTACCAAATATACATGGATGATACTTTCATCATATGTGACGACAATACCGGCATCGAATTGATAACTAAAGAGTTCAACAGCTGTCATCATGGCATCCAATTCACGTCGGAATCAGAGATGAACTCGGAATTCGATATTTTTTTGGATGTTTTTCTAAAAAGCAGATCTGATGGTTCTCTTCAAAGATCGATCTATAGGAAACCAACATGGAATGGTCAGCACACAAATTTTCATAGTTGGGTCCCTTTGAGAAGAAAGAGAAACTTGATCCACTTCTTATTCTGAAGAATAATAAGGATATGTTCCAGTGATACAATCGATGGGGAACTGGGGCGACTCAGACAAGTCTTCATAGAAGAATGGATATCCTCCAAGATTTATCCAGAAAGACAAGAATGGAAAGGTCTGAAAGAACCCAGACGGTGCCGAAGAAACTGCTATTTATGAGCGTTGAATTTAAAGGTGATGCTACAGCTCAGATTCTGAAGAGTCGCTTATACAGATCACTGAGGAAAGCCTTCTTTATGGCTGAGCTACGTATCAATATCTACAGCCGACAAATGAACAATGGATGTGTGAAAGATAAACTGCCACTTTAGGCCACTTCATTATACGTTTATAAATTCACCTGCTCATGTGGAGCTAGTTATATTGGCCGCATAAAGCGCACAATTTCCAAACGTATCTCTGAACATTATCCGGTATAGCTGGTGTCCAAAAGGACAATGCAAGGTGGTTACTGGCTCTATTCTTGAGTGCTTGGTGAACTCAAGCCACGTAGCTCCACCAGAATCGTCTTTCAAGATTATCTACAAGGTGAGGCCAAATGGTACAAAGGAAGTCAGGTTTTGCCATTTGTGTATAGCGGAGGTGCTGGCAGTTCGTAAATACAACCCCGAACTCTGTCTTAACATCTTTATTAGTCGTTCCCTGTAATTTTTAATTTTTAATAATTACTTTGCTTTCACTTTAATAATTAATTCACTATGATCACTATCATATGTTCCTTTTGTACATTTTCTCATCCTCGTGACACCTGTTCGATGGACACTCAGCTACCACCTTTCTTCTCATTCAACAACAATTTTAACCTTATCAAATTTTGAGCGCTTTCTTCCATTGCGACGTTGAGTATTACGTAATTTATAACTTTTATTTTTACTTTTGAAGCCACTTCTAAGTGGTTATATGCCGTATTATTCACTAATGGGCTACCATACGCTTTTCATACTTTTCAATTTTGGTTTGTAAGGATTCGATTTGTTTTTATGAGTTGATCACCGATTGATATCAGTCAGAGAACCATTGAAAACCAGCCACAGGGAGTACTGGACAGCAGTTTCCTCCCACTAGTTTGGGGATCATCGGCAGTACGCACCTTACAAACCAGCTATTGAAAATTAATCTGATGCCCGCTAGTGACTTGCTATAGGATGGAGTTTCCTGGAAGTCTAGTGAGAAGTCGTGACCAGTGAGGTCCAACCAGTCAAGTGTGAGGATGGATTTTCCACCGATGACATTGGTTGGTGGTCACGCTAAATCACGAATTAGTAGAAGTTAGAATTCATGGACTGGCCATTGAGGCGTCAGGTCCCAATGGCTGAATGGTATACGAGCCAACTTGCCTTGTAACCCGAAGGTCCTGTGTTCGAATCCCAGTGGGTGCGTACTTCCGATGATTTCCAAACTAGTTGGGTGAAACAACTTTTCGGTAATCCCTGGTTTTCAATGGTTCTCTAACTGATATCAGTCCATAATCAACTCGTAAAAGCAAAGATAAATTACGACTGTACAGCCTGTGAAGATGATTTCGTTGATAGGGAAAATTTTCTTTACTGAATTGTCTTTTATTTTCTTCATGACAAATCAGCGTATTAGGAAGAAGTGTGCTAACTCAATTTGATGACTGTCGGCAAGATTTCTTTGATGAATAATAACATAAGTGAAATGCACGGTGTCATTGAGTAAAGAATAAAGCATAGAGCTGAATTTCACTTAAATCAAAACTTTGTACTTTTATGGTGTGTACTACTTAAAAGGAACAGATACAAGTAGTGTGCATTGAGTAATATCTTCGAGGAAACAGTGCAAATTTGATGATATTGGGTGATTGAAAGCAATCGGCAGGAAGCCTTTGACCTAGGTTTTGTGCTAGTTAGCACTTACAAGTCAACAAGGCGTATCTGCAACCTTGAAGGAACTCATGTCCTTTCTGAGATTCAAACCCGCGTCACCCAGTGCTGCAGTCAGAGACGCTACCATTGAGCTATTCGGGCTAGCCACTGACCTCTTGTAGGACTGTAGTGGAAAGAGGAGGTTAATCGCAAGCCCGATTAGCTCAGTAGTAACGTCTCTGACTGCAGGCAGCACTTGGTGACGTGGGTTCGAATCTCAGAAGGGACATGAGTTCCTTCGAGGTTGCAGATACACCTGACCTGGCTGATTGGTGAGAGTGCCAACTAGCACGAAACCTAGGTCGGCTGGCTGGGCTTCCTGCCGATCGCCTTCAACCATCTAGTATCATCAAGTCAATGTGCACCGTGATGGCGAGCTACCTAGTGGAATGGTGGCCACATTGCAAACCTAACTGATAGAGTTCAGTCTGGACCAAAGAAAGGACTATACACATCACACTAGTTACTAGTGTCCAATCAAAGTATACGGCGCAAATTTGTATGTTAGTGGAAGAGTAAATGAAGAACAGATACAATAAGAAGAAGGTAACAACAGACTGAGGAGAATCCAATAATTAGCAGGCAAGAGAAAGGGTATTATTATTATTACTATTATTTGCTATTATTTACTATTACTATTATTTACTATTATTATTATTATTACTATTATTTGAAGATCCCTGGCCAACACCAACAACAACAACAGACAGCAATCAGCATAAATGGAAAAAACCTGAAAGAAACTACCTCCTTCACCTACTTGGGAAGCATTGTTTCAACTACAGGCGGAACTGACGAGGATATCAAAGCAAGGATCGGGAAAGCAAGGCAAGCTTTCATTACTCTGAAGTCTGTGTGGAGGACAACATCATTCAGCGTCAAAAATAAGATCCGGATTTTCAACTCCAATGTGAAGTCAGTACTACTATACGGATCAGAGACTTGGCGTGTCACAAAGAGCACCTCAAACAAGCTACAGACCTTCATTAACAGATGTCTTCGCTCAATACTCAAGATCAGGTGGCCGGAAAGGATCAGCAACAAAGATCTCTGGGAGCGAACCAACCAGGAACCCATTGTGAAACAAATAGGCAGGAAAAAATGGAGATGGATTGGCCACACTCTGAGGAAACCAGCAAGTGACATCACTAGACAAGCCCTCGAGTGGAACCCGAAAGGGAAGCGGCGAGTTGGTCGTCATTGCAAGGGTGACCTGGAGGAGATCATGTGAAGAGGAGATGAAAGCATGTGGGCAGACCTGGAGCCAGGTGAAAACTCTAGCAGAGAATCGAACGCAATGGAGACGCATGGCTGAAGCCCTATGTTCCTCTAGGAACTAAAGGAAATAATAATAATAATAATAATTATTTGCAGACTGTGCAATCGCTATAAAGCTTGTGATTAGCTAGTCTAACATCCAGCCTCTCTTCTTTATCAGGCTTAACACCGAATAAGTGAGGCTTGAGATTGCATCCAACGTCCAGGAATTATATCCATGCTACATGTGGATAATAGCGAATAAGCGTATGATAAACCAGTTTCAGTGCACAGCAATTAGCATTTTTTTAACTATCTCAAATTATTAATTACTCAAGAACTAAATCAAACAGTCATTGAATCTACTTACGATAAGAATATCTTTTTGAATTTTCCCCATTACATAATCTACCATTGTATTGACGCACAGATTCTGTTTCTCGACCATTTTCTCCAGTACCAGTGATAGGATCACGTCTTACTGAGAATAGAACAGAGTAGAAATAATATTCGTGTTAATAATCATGAAGAACTAGTTAGTTTTATGATACACTTACTTACTAACTAACTTACAGTTATGGGTTAAAAAAATCCATAAGGAGTGAGAGCAGTTAATGTAAATGTAGAATTTAGGCGCTTTAGTGAAATTTATAATTCCATATAAATTTATTATTACTATTCCCTTGGGTTCAGAGGGGAACATCGGGATTATTGGCTTAATCCGCAACTGCTCATAACCTGCCATCTCCTCCATGTCACCGTCGGACTTATGCCCGACTCACTTTGTTCCATCCAGGTTCCAACCAGAGTTATGCCTAGCGCGCGATGTCATTCAGTGGTCTCCTCAGCATGTCACAGATCCATTTCCATTTTCTCCTACATATTTGTTGAGTGATAGTTTTTTCCCATAGTTTCTTATTGCTAATTCTTTCTGGCAATTCTACTTTCATTATGGAGCCAGCGACGGCAGCTTTTGGAAATGCTTTTCCTGAGGCTGCCGCTAAATTCCTGACCCATATAGCAGAAGTGACTGACTTATTAAAACCACTGATTTCCAAGTGAAAAAGTTCTGTATTGCCTTTCCGGCTTGGTTTAATTTTGAAATCCTCATTGGGTAACGTCACCTGTAAGTGAAACTATGCCACCTGGATAAGTGAAGGAAGTGACCTCTTTCAAATTTCTCCACTCGATGGTGATTGGTTCATTGGATAAAAATTTATTTGATATAACACAGGCACTGAAATAGCATTTATAACTGGATAAGATTTGGAGCAAATTGTATTACTGCTCATAATTATATCAACGGAATGGAACAATTCAGAAAATTCATCGAGGTGAGAAAATTTATGGTAACATTTCACACTACTAATAAGTAGTATAATTTTATGTCATTAAAACTCATGAAATGATTATGAACTTCGGATTATTTTAAGTTAATTTCGCAATTCTAGCTGATTGATTATACTGGACAGGGATTTTCGACTTCGGTTGACATTTCTGCCTCTGATAAGGTTGTTTCAACGATTTATGAGGATAAACTTGATATAATAATAACATATATATTTTGGATAAGAAGTGGTAACCTTGGTTGAAGCGGTCTAGTGAATAAAGTTTTGGCATTTGGAACGATGGGCACTGAATTAGGGTTTGAGTGCGAGCACCATCTCTCACTGGGGATCAGGATTGATGAATAGTCACAAACAGGACGGAATGAGCATCCTGCATCCCACTTTTAGTCATCATCCATCAAATAACAACAATAAATATTTATTTAAAACTGGCCAAGTAACACTTTAGACACCAGTAACTACCAATCAGCGAACGACGTCGAATTATCCAATGAGATTCACGAACGTAGTTCAATGTTGTATAGCGCTTGATTCATTTCAAATGCGTGCCCTTACAAGGTTACGTTTGCAATTCGAGGAGGATAGTGTCTTTCAGTTTTGCCTGGACTTAGGTTTGCTTCGAAAGGAGAAAAGTTGTTCGTGTGGTGGTGTAATGACTCAAAAAAGCTACACCAGGTCAACTGATGGATTTGTCTATCGTTGTGGGATATGCTGGAAGCGAGTTAGCATTAAAGAGGGTGAGCTGCTAATTTTAATATTTCGTAGGGACTTTTTTGCTAGGTCGCATCTCTCCCTAACCCAGATTTTGTACATTTGCAATTACTGGGTATTGAAACAGCCGGTGAGAGCCGCAGTTTCCGAGACGCAGAACAGCCTTGTCTCAACAGTTCAGTAGTACCAGCACTGCAGAGACATCACCTCATGGAAAATGGACAGAACTACTTCGTTGTTAGGCGGGGACGACGTAGTAGTGCATGTGGATGAGACAGTGTTGGTGAAGAAATATAACCGTGGTCGTCAGAGGGTGAACAACATTTGGGTCATAGGTTTATACGACACGTCCCTCTGAAAAGGATTTGTTGAAAGAATAGCAGACAGGAAGGCGACAATTCATTGTCAACCCTGGGATACATTCATCACAGAGTGAACCACTCCAGTGATTTCGTGGATCCAGTTGAAGGGACTCATACAAATTCCATTGAAGGATTTTGGGGTCGATTGAAAAGTAGGATACAGGCTATAAATGGATCTCAAAAGGACCTCATTTTTATTCATTGAGATGAATATATGTATAGGATATGGTGGGAAAGATACCCATTGTAACCGTTTTATCCTTTTTTTATGCATTTTTCTATAAATATACGTTTCCACTTATCATAAATGCCTCTTTCATGTGACTGGTTCGTTCAAGGTCGTCTGCTGATTAATTGTTAGTGGCGTCGAAAGTTTAACTTTGCCTTAAAACTTTATCATGATGAAATCCTCCAACAAATAAAACAAAAATCCCTACAAAATCAATACTTGAAAATTGATCTGATGCTCACTAGCAACTGACCCTATTCAGGCAGTTAACCTTGGATTCTAGGAAAAGGCCATGACCAGTAGGGTACAGTAGGTTGAAGGTGAGGCAGTAACTCATGGAAGAAGACATTGTGCGAAATGGTCGCGATATATCATGAATTGGTAGAAGTTAGAATTCATGGACTGGCCACTGGATAGGGCGGGTCCCAGTGGCTTGATAGTCTACTTGTAACCAGAAGGTCTTGGGTGCGAATCCCAGTGTGGTGGTTGCGTTCTGCTGAAGAGTCGCAAACTAGGACGGAGGAAACAGCTGGTTATCGAGTACTCCCTGTTGGTTTTCCAATGGTTCTCAAACTCATGTCAACTCATGATGAAATCCTCCAACTTATCCAGTATATATTACTGTTTAAATGGGGTTCCTCCTCATTCACTACACACTATTCAACTCTGTTTTTAAATTACACAGAAAGAATCATACCTCTCGGCCGGTAATTTATATTTAATACTTAGTCGTAAATTATTGCCTCCAAAGTATAAGATGGGAAAAAGTAATTACGAAAGTCAATAAACCAACCAATTACCAGATGTATGATTGACATTATTTTAATATATTTAAAAAAAAGTTATTGATAAGTGGAAGTGAATTCTGCTTGATTATGAATTTGCATCTTAATATGGCGTAGAACTAATGAAACTGTAGCCTTAATCTTTTGATTTCCTTCCTTGAAAGGGAAGAAAGTAAGCAAGCATGAGTGCATTAGCGTATATACTACTAATTGACTGATTTAAGTAGTTGAATACTGCTGACACTAACCAGTAGTGCTTTCTAGTCAACTAGATGAGAAAGATCTGAACAGTGCGAGGCCTTTTTGCTTGTCTGCAGCCGAGTTCATCAGCGTTATGCCGGGTTTTGCTCAGCTGAAAAGGATGAATCGGTTTGAACCAAATGAAATTCTCACTGTCTACTTGGACGAACTGGTAGTACGTAGAAAAAAGCTCATAGTTTGAGGTTAAATCTCACCACATTTCCTTTTGGTAACCAAATTATTCAGATCATACACTGTGGTCCTCAAAAATGAATTTGTGATGGTATATATGACCGATCGACTTTGAGTAATCGGTAACTACTCACACATCAACCGGTGGTTCTTGAAAGCTGGATTGAAGTCATGTAAATGCTGGATAGCTGTTTCGCTCCACTGGAGAGGAGATCATCAACACTGCACCTGGTATGAATCACCTCATAAAAGTAAATAACTTCATACCCTCCGAATTCTAGCTATGTAGATGTTTGGACAACCTAGTGACTTAAGGAGTAAAATTCACAATCAGAAAATTATAGTTCGTGGGGGGAAATTCATCTTAGTTTCTTCTTTTGAAGATCAAAAATATTCACATTACAATATTTGATCTGGTATTTGGTATTCATAAATGGATACAAGATTTCATCATGAGCTGACATTTGTTAGAGAACAGCTGGAAAACCAACTGGCAGTACTGGGCATCTATTTCATCTGTCCTAGTTTGGGATTCTTTAGTTAATGCAAGAACTGGCGCGGCATTGTGCTCCTGTCCATCCCAAACAAAATACTAAGCCGCATCATCCTGGAGAGAATCAAACACGCCATCATGGATGAAAAACTTGGACCGGAACAAGCTGGATTCAGAAGAAACAAGTCATGTATTGATCAAATCGCCACATTACGGATCATCATTGAACTCGACTTCATCGACTTTGAAAAGGCCTTCAACAGCGTCGATCGAGAGGTGATTTGGAAACTACTTCGCTGCTACGGGGTGCCACCGACAATTATACATCTCATCCAACAGCCTACTATCTCCAATGATTTTCCTGATTGAAGTAGACTGGGTAATGCGACAGACAGCCGGCAATGAGGAAACAGGCATAAAATGGACCCTCACAAAAACTCTGAGGATCTGGATTTCGCCGATGATATATGTCTGATTTCCCACAAACTGGAAGATATGCAAGTGAAAAGAAACAAGTTGGCGATAGAAGAAGCATCAAAGATAGGACTTCAAGTGAACATAGAGAAAACAGAGGTGATGAAGATTCCTGTCCAACATCAACACAAAACAGTCAGCATAAATGGAAGGAACCTGAAAGAAACTACCTCCTTTATCTACCTACATACCTAGGAAGCATCGTTTCAACTACAGGTGGAACTGACGAGGATATCAAAGTGAGGATCGGGAAAGCAAGGCAAGCTTTCATTTCTCTCAAGTCTGTTTGGAGGTCAACAGCACGCAGTATGAAAATGGAAATAAGATCGGGATTTTCAACTCCAATGTGAAGTCAGTGCTACTATACGGATGGGTCAGAGATTTGGCGCGTCATAAAGAGCACCTCAAACAAACTACAGAACTTCATCAACAGCTGCCTTCGATCTGTACTACTCAAGATCAGATGGCCAGAAATGATCAGCAACAGGGATCTCTGGTAGCGAACCAACCAGGAACCGATTGTGAAACAGATATGCAGGGAGAAATGGAGGTGGATTGGATTGGCCATACTCTGAGAAGACAAATCACCAAGTGACATTACATGCCGGGCCATCGCTCGAGTAGAACCCGAAAGGGAACCGGCTATTTGGTCGTCCAAGTGTGACTTGGAGGAGGTCATGTGAAGAGGAGATGAAAGCATGTGGGCAGATGTAGAGCGAGGTGAAAACTTTGTCAGAGAACCGGACGCAATGGAGACGTGCAGCTGCAGCCCTATGTTCCTCTAGGAATCAAAGAAAATAATAATAATAATACTCAGTAGTATGTTTAACAATCCATAAAATAAATAATCATTAAAACTTACTAGTATTAATATTATTTTCAATCCTATTTCTTGGTTTACCACCGTGTGGTCGAAAGAAATCCACTTCATCTCCTAAATCCCCTTGAAGGGTTACTGGATCACGATCTAAGAAATAGACAATAGGAAAGCGGTAGCGGATAGTGGTTTATTCTTTGATAACAAAACGGTATATATATTACCTCTTTTGCTTCAATATATTTCAAGATAAGAGTAAATTCATCTGAAGTCGTAGTCACTGTATTCACAACTGTTTTAGAATTCATTTGAATCAAACTGCCTCACTATCATATTTTTATACTTTAAGCATGCTCTGTAACTTTAATTTAGTTGATAGCTATTAGCATCAGAATGCAAGACACATTGTTTATCCCATCTTTCAGTAATCAGCTACATGTACCTGCATCTCCTACTGTAACTGGGACTCAGCAACCGACGTTTTGAACGCAAAGTGTGTTATCCGTTAGACAAAGTAGGAAACGGGAACTACCTCTTGTGAAATGTCTAACGGTTGTCGAAATCCCTGTTGACTGATTGTAAGTTAATTCCATTGAATTGGATCTGTGTTTGTACTATAAGCTGACATGTCAACAGGGACCAAACATTTCCGTCCAGCAGCCGAATCAATCAACAGGACGTGGCTCAGTATTAGAATGCTCACTAAACATGCCACACGTGGTTTGGGTTCGATTCCCGGGTTGGTCAAAACCAGCAGTAAACCCTGAGAAGGGGAGAAGTTGGGTATGAATTTGGCAAACGAACCCTGTGGTGAAAAGTCACCGACTCTAAAACTTCAAACTCATGCTTAAAATCTTATGTTCCAGTCGGAAGTTACGTAAGCCAAAAAAATATATTGATTGGTCAATGCACAATAACCAGTGACACGTGTCTAGTTATGAGTTTAGGTGCCGACTGAATTCTATCAGTTATGGTTTTGCAATGTGATGAACAGTTTCTTAAATGAATGGTGGAAATCATATCTGTAACATGAATAGTGCTAATTTGAATTCTATTCCACTTCTATCACTAACATATTTACACTAAATTCATTGAAGGTAGTTTCAAAAACCCTGTAAATCTTCAGACAAATGCAGGTAACATTATTGTAAACGAAAAATGCAGGGTTCAGCTCCAGATGGGAACGCTTTCATTCACTGGTGATTGTAGGTACATCCAACTGGGGGTGGGGTGGGATGAGCATCTTGGATTCCACCGTTTGTCACTATCAGCCGAAATAACATTGTATTAATCCTCAGACATCTCCAAAGTGTCGGCACTAGAAGTCAACATATCAACAGAGACCGAACACTTATGTCTACAAAGTCATATTACCCGTGACTTCAACATTCTCACTGTTATTACTTCCTTTGGTTCTAACTGGAACGCAAGGCTTTAACAGCGCATCTCCATTTTATCCTCTTTTCGGTAATATTTTTCAAGTGGCTTCAAAATTGCTCGTAACCTTTCATTTCCTTCCCACATATCACCGTTGGAGCGATGTATAACTTGTCGTTCTCCCTTCGAGTCCCACTCAACGGCCTGTCTAGCGTGTGATGTCACTCGAAAGTCTTCTCAGCGTTTATCCGATCCATCTCTACTTTCTTCTGCATATTTACTAGGTGGTATGTTCTGGTATGACTCTTTGAAAGAGTTCTTTAACGGCTTTTCTGATAATTTAGCTGATATCCAGTATGGAGCGAAGGTATCCGTTGATAAAAGTCTTCAGTAGGCTTCTGGAATTGATATTGGCGATGCATGTACCAAGTCTGTGTGCCGTATGGAAATTTGGAATTTGGATCTTGTTCCTCATTCTGAGAACAGTAGATTTCAAGATGTTATTCGATAATTCTGAACTTAAGTTGTCTAGCACTAACACTTTCAAGCTTTCCAATTGACATGAGCCTGTTTGATGATTTTCCTGAGTTCGCCTTAATCTCACAGCTGTAAATTTTTACAGTGAGTATTGCCTCCCACTGTAATTTTCCGTATTTTTTTGATTGTGACTTTTACCTAAAGCCATTCTGAAAGTGTCCTCACAGGGATTTATTGTTCCTCTTCCGATTATCCTGTTTGACCTAGGAATAAAAACTGACATTGGTAAATAGTAAAATCGAATGTTTCATTTCTTGAAGCACTCATCAAAGAAGATCACTTTATTAGAACCTGATATCATCGTCAATACAACCTGATGAAGAGTCCCACACTAGGATGAAACAGTTGTCCAGTTCCTAGAGCGGCATAGGGCTTCAGCAGCACCTCCACATTGCGTTCGGTTCTCCACCAACGTTTTCACCTGGTTCCACATCTGTTCACATGCTTTCATCTCCTCTTCGCATGACCTCCTCTTCCATGTCACCCTGCCACTGACGACCAACTCGCCGCTTCCCATTCGGGTTCCACTCGAAGTGTGATGTCACTCACTTGATGGTTTGTTTTCTCAGAGTATGGCCTTCAGTCTACCTCCATTTCTTCCTGTATATGTGTTGTACTACTGGTTCCTGCTGAGTTGGTTCGCTCCCTGGTTTTCAGTGATTCTTCAACTGATGTCATGCAACTGTATTGTATAAATTCTCACCCTAACCAATTCTTATTAAAATGTAAACTAGTAGGTTACTGACAGAGCTCTTTGTCAGTCAGAAAAAGAAACGCAGCCTACAGGATAACCTATGTTATGGCCGGCATTTTTCGGACTACCAACGTTTACAACTAGATTACTTCAGAATATACTTTTATTAAAGGTTTGGAATGTTGTCCACATTATTTCCTATTACATCTATGCATGATATATATATATAGTTTTTAAAAATATATATACATATTTATGTATTTGTCGTGATTCAACTAATTCACAGCTTTTCATAGGCATTGTTTACCTTGATCAGAAATATTATTACTTCTGTTATTGTTATTTTTATTATTATTATTATTATTGTTATTATCGCTATTGTTACTTTCGTTATTTGCGCTATTCAACTGTTCTTCATAATAGTTATTGTTATCCTGATTTGTACCTGTTGAATCTAAAAGGTATGATTATTTATGCATCAGATAAATATTTAAAAAAAATAATAATATTTGTAAAGGGAAAGAATCAAAAAGGTATACATATATATACTACTGGTCGATTGATATAAGTAGTACCGTAACGACAGAAGACAAGGGCCGGGCAACAGATCGCTTATTGAGGAAATCAACAGATATTTGTAGATTTTTATGTACATTATTATTCGTTATTATTAGCACAGAAACAGCGTCTTCTGATTGGTTGTTTTCTTGCTAAAGGTTATTCTGTCATCTCTTTGTGGCCATTTTTCTTTAAAGGTCAGACCATATATCTACGAATCGTATCCGCCCACGCTAAGTCTGCTGTGATTGGTTGTTGAGTTGACCGATATTTATGACGTAAACATTGACGCAAATTGCTCTCTAGCAATTTCAGCTAGCAGACAGCTCTCACCACAGTACTAGTACTTTCTAACCATATAGAAGTGATCTAAACACCATCGGACCGTTTCACTTGTTTGGGGTCGAGTTCAACAGCAGTTCACCACAGTTTATAGAGCTACTTGGACGAACTAGGAGTAAAGTGAATCACATTCGATATTTTGCAGTTGTTTTTTGATACAGTTCATTGTGAAAACTCGTCACAGATTCCTTTGAAAGACCAGATTATTCATATCAATTGAGGCTGCCTGAAATTTTCTTAATTCTAAAACCCGCCAAGGTATACAACGATAGACGCTGTATTCAGTTTCTTTTGGTTGTATAATTCGGTCGTTTCTATTTGAAATTCTACTGATTGTCTGCTGTGTGTAGAATTTCTTATTTTGATTCCACACTGTATTTTTTGTACATGTATGGAATTTTCAGCATTTGATATCGGTAGGCCAAAGTTTGCAAGCTGACCATTGATATCAGGTATGCGTCGGCAGGGGATCGAACCCCGGACTATGTGCATGGTCAGGAAGAGTCCTAACCGCTGTGCCACCAACGCACAGTGTTGTTGCTTTCGGTGAGTTGGTAGAAAAACGGTGAATAATGGAGAATGTCTTTTCTTTGCTATTTAGCCGTATGTTCTGTTGGAAGAAGGTGGATTCGTAAAGAGCTATTTACGGAACTGATATCATTTTTGTTTAACCAAACTGGAAGGTGTTCACCAACAGGGATGATTAAATTCATAGAATAATGACCAAAATAAGGGGCCTCACAGGAGCACTTGGAGGAGTGCAGCAAGGAGTGGCCAGTCTGGATGAATCATCTCTCAGTTTCAGTGACATCATTCAACGTGTGTAATTTTCAATTCCTCTCAATTAAAGCTCTTTTAGACAGATGTGAGTCCGCACTTTTAGACTTCTTTTTAACTCGTGCCACATTGAAATCTACGTTTAGTGTGACCATCCAGAATCTGTCCCTACACTGTTTTTTTTATATTATAAGAACTCAAAATGAAGTGCTGTCCACCTAAGGATCTGATTTATTTCATCACAGGACTTTGTATAAGTGAAAATTTTCACTGCTTCTTCGCCTTCTTCATTAAGTGTTGTTGATTAGTGACTCAAGTCGTCTTAAGATCAATGGACCTCCTTATTACTGTCATCAGTATGGATCTCACTCACTACGACCACAAACAGCAATAAGAAACGATTGATGACTACCGTTCATCATCATTTTGAAGTTTATTTAAACAGTATTTACACATCACTGTAACTTTATACGCCAGGTTCACACTACACGTAAAAATATTCACGGTTTTTACCTATGACATTATGGGATTGGTATAAATACTGATCTGCTGACGAGCTCATTAGTAGTGTACCTGAAGTGACTCAGGTCGGAAAGGTGTATCAGTCCATACTACCCGAAATTTGATCAGGTAGCTATTTAGGCAAGTCGATAATGTTTTGAATCGTAATTTGTTAAGCATACAGTTAGAGGAGAAAGTTCACAACAATTGACTTTCGATTTCTTTATTATTTTAGCTGAAGAATGGTGTTTAAAATTGTAGGCCTAAACCTTGTAGCAGTAAATAATTCCCCAAAATTATTCACCACAGCAATCATCACTGAACATCGGATGCTGACCCTCACTGTTTAAGTCAACTTGTTTAGCTGAAAGCTTCCGGTCAAGCATCCATGCCATTTAGTACTAAGTCGTGTCACGTTCGTGCACGATCACTAGCTAGTTAAGCATATATCACGGTTTACTATTTGGTCCCGAAATATATCTCGTACTTTGGACGATCATTTGTGGCATTTCGCTTTGCCTTTGGTACAAGAGGAACGAACACTAAAGAAGTTGTTGGTATAAGATCTTACGTTAGTATATTCCGTACAATTCACGAACGTCAATACCGTCAGCCTCTAAAACCTCATCAACTCGGAGTGTTAAATACTCACCATAGTCACTTACGATACCAAGTAAGTACTTTTATAATATTATTTGTTTCCCTTGAGTTCCAAGTGGAATATAGGGCTTCAACAGTACGCATCCACTATGTCCTAATCTTTGCAATCCTGTTTAGTTGGCCTCACGATTGCCAATCGTATCTCATCTGCTCCTTACACGATCTCGTCAATATGCTCCTTGAACGCACCACTCATTGTTTCCCATTCGGAGTCCAATCGAGAGATGACTTGGTGCGTGGTGTTCTCAGATGGTCCCCTCAGTGTATGTCCTATCCATCTTCACTTTCTTAGGAAAATTTGTTGAGCAGTTGGTTCTTGGTTAGTTGGTTCCCAGAGTTTCTTGTTGCTAACTATTTTCCAACCGGCCATTCGATCTTCAGTATAGAGCCAGCCAGAGAAGGCAGCTGTTGGAAACGCTTTCCATGACACTCAGTGCAAGTTTCTCACCCATTTCGAAGCAGTAACTGACTACACATTTGTTTTGAAAATAGGAATCTTGTTCTTTATGCTGAGTGTAGTGCAGAAGATTTCCAAACTGGTTTCAGGTTGGTGAAGGCGTGTTTTACCATTCCGATTCTGGTTGGCTTTAATACCTTCATCCGTTCTGACTGCCTTTGGTTGAAACTGTGCTTCCTAGATAAGTGAAGGCAGGAGGTAACCTCTGTCAAATCTCTCCCGTTGATGATGATTGGTGCTGACTGTTGTCTTTGTTGGTTGGTCATCTTCATCACCTCCATCTTCTCTATGCTTACTTGGAGCCCTGCCTTCTCTGCTTCTTCTGCCAATTTGTTGGTTTTCTCCTGATCATCTTCGAGTTTACGTGACAATCCTAACTCTATAACATACTAAACCATTGTCAACAGAGGGTTTATTTTGAATTTACCATAGGAAATTGGAAGCTACCGACAAGGAGCTCTGAACCCCTGTTCTGCGGTTTCCAGTATTCATTATTATTGTTATTGTTCTCTTGAATTCTCAGTAAAAACACAACAGACCTTCCTAGCTCAGTTCACAACCGTCCATGAGCTTTCATCTCTTCCTTATACGTTCTTCTCCATGTTTCCTTTGGACCAACGCCTAATCTGTCGTTTCTCATTCGTGTTAGAATGCATTCCTGGCGTGTAATGTCTTTCAGTGATCTCTACAGTGTGTGTCTGATCCATCACTTCACCCAGTTTAGTAGCCACTTCTAACCCCGGAGAAAGGAGGAAGGTTGCGATTGAGGTTAGTGACTGTACTCCGAAAAATTGACTGAATCCCTACGGAAACTTAGAAGCAGGTGTAGGTAAATTTAACAAGCTCATTTAACTTTCAGTAAAGAATGAGAAATTTTCTATTACTAGCATAGAAATGCTAGAAGTAGTTATTTATTGATTTCTATACTCATTACCACTTTTATTTATGTGAATCATATGAATTATTATTATTATTTTTACTGCTATCAAAACTACTACTTAAATTAGTATTATCACTAACACTGTTTGTGTTATCATTTCTGTATGTGTGTGTGTGTGTGCGTTATTCATCGGTAATGTTAATACTTGAATTTTAAATCATGTGACCATAAATATGATGCATTTAAACAAAATTTATTGAATCCATTGAATCATTGAAACTATTTGAAAAGTGTGTGAAATAAATTGGATCCTATTAAACATTGATATTAATAATAATAATGATAATAATAATAGTAATATTAATAGATGTAATAATTATTTAAATATGTGAATATATGTTTATCAAAAAAATTTGTTTAAACTCACTAACACGCGATTTGCATGACAATTCTTTAGTTGTATATAAACAGTTATATTCAGTACCCATATCACCTTGCATTGTGATTGGATCCCGATGTGGAAATGCTGTGTGTATAAGATATACATTAGACATAATAATACAAAAGTGTGTGAGTATGAGCTTGTGTATTTAGAGTTTTGGTTAGTACTCAAGGGGGGGGGGGTTAATAATTAAGAAAATTACGCTTTGTTTATGTATACAACAGGAATGTAAATTTTGTTTGTACACTAAGAAATCATGTGAGTACTACTGATGTGATTATGAGCAATATAATATGCTCTAAAACATTATCCGTTTATTCATACTGCATCACTTTGTGTTATGTTAAAATAAACTTATCTACTGTGGAATTATATTCCATAACAGTTCCCAGATTCCTTTCGTACATCCATGCATTTCAGTACAAAGTTCTAGAGATGTTCTGGTAATACCAATGGCTGATAAAATCGTAAAATTATTAGTCTAAAGCTATCATCATCCCCTGAACACTGGATGCCGACTTCTGCTGGGTAAGTTGGCTGGTATCCAATCAAGCATCTTTGCCAGTTGACACTGGTGTTACGTTCGGCTGTTTATGCACGATCTCCAGACAATTAGCTACGCATAACTGCTCAACACTGTGGATATCGAAGTTTATTTTGCATTTATAGACGATATAATTGTCGTTCGGATTCGGCTGACTAAATGTTCTTTGATTACTTCCTACATTTATTCCCCTTAATGAATTTGAATAAAGCAAGAACTACAACAGTGGTTTGTGCAGAATAATGCAGTACCATCATTGCTTATCTCGCTGGCTTCTCATCAGCTGCCTTCAGCCCAAAAACATCACTATTAAGTTTACATACAGAGCAGTTTTAACATACTTGCGAATTTTGTATGGTGTTAGTTGACAGGAGGTCCTAGACTTCGTGAACACAGCTCAGAAAGTTACGCTTATACAGGGATTTCAAGTTTAAACATGCTAAGTGTATGCACACAATGCTAGAGGAGTTACGTAATAAAGACGAGATTTGCGTCGGATGGTGAGTAAATAATAAATTGGGTAACAATGTATTGAGTTCAACTCAAATCATAGTAACAAGAGACAAGCAAAATTACACCATATGGAAGAGGGGAATGAGGTTAAAGCTAAAGATTACGTAATCAAATGAAAGAGAGAGAGCGAATGAAGACATCGAGTTACCAGGTGTGCAAGGAAAGATTGATAACTGTCTTCTTTTGATGCAGATTGCTGCGGCAAAATTTGAGGAGAATTAAGCTTTTTCAGTTCACGTCGAATAAGTACAGTGAGGAAGGCTAAAATGCAAATATCATTGTATCATCGCGCAACATCTTCATCTCATAAACTACTCTGGAGTAGATTTATTTATTTAGTGTTATTTGCCTACATTATTTTATCAGGTACACTGATGTAGGATCACAAACTAGGATCGAGTAATTGTGTGAAACCTTTCTTTTCATTCGCTTGCGTTTCGAGTGGAACACGGGGTTTCGAACTTTGATCTTTAAAGTCCCAATAGTGGTGTTCTTTTTAAGGAATGATGGAGCTGCTAGCCTCACACTGAAACTCTCCTTTTACTGGGCTTACTGGTGATTAGTTGAGGTTAATGAGTGCATCCATCTTTTCTGAACTGAAGCCTGGATCACGTGCGTGTGTGTGGCGATCATTCCCCACCATAGAACACCCGACGCACTCTTCGAACTTTAAGAGATATTAATTCATGATAAACTACATATGTGGAGCATTAATAAACTTTTAGACAAGCTAATTAGAGTTTTATGCATATCAGAATAAGTTTGGTTCAAATATGTTGGAATACAAACTCCCTGAATGGATATTTTTTATGCCCTGATAATTTTTATTCTCGCCTTATTTGCTAGAGATAATAATAATTTGCTTTATTCCAGAAACAGTACTAGTGGCACAGTGTGGAATTTTCAGCACATATCTACAATATTTGCATCTAATTTTACCAAACATTTAAAAGGAGTATTTCAAAAAATAAATATAAAAACAACGATAACAACAAACACAAAATAAAAAAAATGCGAAAAAATACCAAGAAGTATAAAGGAAAATAAACAACATATAATAATATCTCAGTATTGGGTAGTGGAAGCTACGATATGATTATGCATGGTGACAGTAAAGCTATAGTCATACAAGAAGTTATGAAATGATATTTAAGAAGGTTTATCGCCAGGATGATCAGTTAATTTGGTTGAAACAACACTAAACAACCATAAAATAACATTTCAGGGTTGTTGTTTTGTTTTTTATTGTCAGGTCTAATGCGGTGTTTGTAGTGGCAGTGTGAGTAATCCTGCATAATACAAAGTTTTTAAGATGGTGATAATGACGTTCACAACCAAGATTGTCAGTTAATATTGCCGAAAAAAAAAACAACCACAAAACTAATAATGACATGATGGTTAATGACAGGACAATTTTGTACTACTCATAGTGCTAATATAGTCGGAACCAGTAGATACAAAAAAGAAAGAATAGAGTAAAGTACAAAAAAGTAAGCCAATGTTAATAATTTAGGTAGCTAAGTATGCTTTAAGAAGGAGTTCACTATAGAATACAAATAAGAGAGAAATAAAAGAGCCTAAAATTATGTTATTAACAACAAAGCAAGTCATAGGTTTCGCGCTTAACATTGTCTCTGTCACTTAGAACACGGGCCAAGTATGGTATCGTTGAGTTCCTGTACTTGATTGTACGAGCATAGCATAGCATAGTTACAAGTACAATCTACGTTACCCTTCCTAATCTATTTTTAGTATATATACATGTTGGTAGTCGGTGATTGCTTCAGTTCAGTAAAACATTATAGGGAAATGACAACTGATACTTGTTGCACAGAATGTGGGTTCTGGTTTCTCACTGACTTGGCATTTTATGCGCCGGGTCAAGAATCCTGTCATCAGTAGGGAGAGGCACGGATCAAGAGACATAATATATTATTCAGGCTGTAAGTTCGTCTGACAGCCATTTATCAGTATGAAAAAGTGGTTGACAAACAACTTTTGTTGCTTCACTCTGACATAATTATAGGAATTATTAAAAAGACGGTTACAGAGAAGAAAATTTTCTTTTCGACGAAGTCATCCATCAGATAGAGATGTACATTCGTGTATTTACAGTAAGTGCGTGAGAAATTCTCAGAATTATTAGGAATATTGGGTAGAAAAGACATAATAAGATCATAATTATTGGAAAACTCGTCAGTTTGTATAATTACGGGTTAAGAACGTAGTATTAACGAAATGGGTAGGAGGTTTGGACATATAAACAGTTACAATAACTAATTCTAATAATGCAGATAGGAATTAAGAGCGTAAATATAACAGAAATAAACGGGAAGGTTGGACAAGAAAGGTAATAGGATGGCCACGGTAAGGACAATGGTTGGACTTATTTCTTTCGGACACATAAAGTAGGCTTGAGTTTTTGGATCGCCATTGCTTCAGCTATTCCCAAATGCCTTGATTTCACCCCTTTGGAGAAGTTTGATCGGATCTTGTTTATGGCTTTGAAGGACTTTTCATCAAATGGAGCTGAATGTCCTGAATTCACCGAACTGTAAACACCTCTGCGTTCTCCTTTTTCTAATCATGCTGGATAGTGTTCCCGAGCGCGTTTTGTAAGTGGACGCATGGTAAGGCGAATGTACTTGGCTCCACTCGAGCAAGTGAACTGGTATATGCATGTTGCAGTGGCCCAATGCGACAGCTTATCTTTCACATGCTGGTGAGTAGTTTCTTGTGGGAGAATGCTACTCGTAGGCTGGCGGTGAAGCACGTCTTATTGAGAGACTTCGAGAATTTCTACTTCGGTATCACTTTTAAATTCGAAGTTCAGTACCAACATCTTTTTGTGAGCGACCTGAACCTATCAGGCATTCTCTTTGGTTATGGGCTCTTGTTTATGGATCTAGGTGGGTACCTCGGAGATTTCGCAATTCGTCGTCAATTGACTCCTAAGTGCAAATTTTCCGGATCCTCGAGGAAAGAGAGTATATTAAGTTTCTCTTTCTGCTTGGAGGCACACAACTTTGAAAATCGTTCCATTTGAGCTTCTTGTAGATGGATCTTCTTAGAGAGTTTACAGTATTCCTTTGCGATTGAACATCAGGAAAATAAACTACTAAATCAGATTCAAATTCCAGGGTGAAGTTGATGTTTCGCTGAGCGTTATTGAAGGTTCGGATTAGGTTTTTTTTTCAGATCACAATTCTCACCACAAATAATGATAGTATCATCAATGTATCTCTTGTAGAGGTGGAGGTCGTCGATTGTTGGTGACAAAAAGTTGTTTTCTAGACTAGCCTTAAAACAGTCTGCCAAGATGGGTCCTAGAGGAGAACCTATTGCGTCATAGTAACAACTGTTTCAGGTGATGCTATTGGATTGAACGAAGTCACAAAGGGAACATACAGTTTCCATCAATGGAACGCTTATTGAAGAGAGAGAAGTTATCCTGGGAGACAATTATCTTATCTGCTACGCTGACATTCTTAACTGAATCAACAAAATCGAATGTATCCTGAATGTTCTGTCTTGATAGCTTTTCTTTCACCTGAAACCAATCTGGAAATCTTCCACTGTCACTCAGCATCAACAACAAAATTCGAATTTTCAATACAAACGTCAAGTCAGTTCTTCTATACGGATCAGAAACTTGGCGGGTCACAAAGAATATTTCCAACAGGTTGAAGACCTTTATCAACAGCTGTCTTCGTTCTATACTGAAGATCAGATGGCCGGAAAGAATCACCAACAAGAAACTATGGGAAGAAACAAAACAAGAACCAATCGCCTAACAAATATGCTGGAGAAAGTGGAGATGGATTGGACACTCGCCCTCGAGTGGAACCCGAAAGGGAAGTGGCGAGTGTGACGTCCAAGGGTGACATGGAGGAGATCGTTTGAAGAGGAACTGAAACAGTATGTACTGACATGGATGCAGGTGAAAAGTACAGCAGAAGACAGAAGCAAGTGGAGACGTGTAGTTGAAGCCCTATGTTCCACTAGAAACCCAAGGGAACAATAATAACAATAAAAGTATTTTTCGGAGTCGAACGTCTTGTTTGTGTACTTTAGGTAAGCCGTACATGCGCAGTTCATAATTAAAGCAATAAATTTGATCTTAAAATCCCTCCATGAACAATCTGTTTGAAGTATTGGTAATTATTTGAATACTTTAAGGTTTTATGCTTTTATTATGCTTCCTACTTGAGTTCTGTATTCTTCTACTAACATTTGCATATCTTTTTTACCTTAGTTCTTATTATTTGTCATTGAATTTTGTTTGATGATACCTACTTTTAATGCTTTTCTGTGCTGTTCTGTGGTAGTGTAGATAATAATGTGTTACTTTACGACTGAGATTTTGCTTAAATGCGATCGAAGTTAGACCATTGAGTGACGGTTCAACCTTTTACTGTCTACGGGAAATGCATGTTTGCTGTTTGATCCTATTGTGTTAGGAATTTTCTTTATTGATTCTCAGACATTTGCGTTTGGTCACTTAATTTTACTGGACAACACATATTTTGCATCTGCAAAACTTTTATTAATATTATTATTATTACTCTTATTGAACCGTACCACAGAATATATCGAATAAAAGCGTCTTTTGATGCTGTGGAAATATGGTTTTGGACTGTGAGTGGTACATCGTCAAAGCATCTGCACAAGAAGCCGACATGTCAACCTGAGACCGAGCACTTCTCGGTCCAATCAATCGACGGGAAAATCTGAAATTAAATAAAATAATTAATATGACCCGTTGCACAAGAGACAGTGGCTCTCTCGTGGCCCAAGTGGTCCAGTGGATAACGCTTTGGCGTTTGAAACTAAGGGCACTGGGTTCGAGCCTCGGCGGGAACATTATCACTCATTGGGGAATGCAGGTACATCCAGTTGGCGAGTCCCAAATTGGACGAAATGCGCAGCCTGGATTCCACTGCTGGGCACCATCCATCAATTAAATTCTAATTACATGTCCAGATATCCTCGAAGCATCTGCACAATAAGCCGACGTGTCAACTTGAGATCGAGCCCTTCGGTTCAATCAATCGACGGGAAAATCTAAAATTCAATTATATTTTACATTCTGATGTTATTTGGCTGATAATGCATTGCAGTGGAGTCAAGGATAGTGGGATGTTTCCAGTAAGACTCAAACCAAGCAAGTCTAATCAGCGAGACTCAAATAGGATCAAATGCACACCTTGTATCCAAGTGCAAGGCAACATCAAGCATTTGACATCATGTTTACTTTGAGACGCCATCAAAGCGTTCGTATTTGAAGTATTTCAGTAGAGAAATATCGTTTGGGAGCTACAAATCTTTCCTGACCATTCAGTGGACTGTTAGGAAATCATTCTAGTTAGATAGCGAAATACATAATCTTCGATAAGTGACTCCTGTGATTTAACTTTAAAACAATGACTAGCAATAACAGTATGGATATTGTAAATATGCACTTAGTTGTATGTCACTTGAACATATCATGGGGATAACTTTACATATCTAAACATTTTAAAATTCCTGTATTTAATAATTGTGAAAATGTGAAGCCTGTTCATCCTGAAGAAACTGGATGTAAGTACTGCGTCCGGAACAACGTGGATTCAGGTAAAACAAGTCATTTGCGGAAAAAAATTGTAACTCTATGCATCATTATCGGTCAGAGCATAAAATGGCAATCACTTTTCTACCACAACTTCATCGAAAATGAAGATGGACTGAAGAAACGCTGAGGAGACCACTGGGTAATATCACATGCAAGGCAAGCCTTCGAGTGGAACCCAAATGGGAAGCGGCATTCTGGGAGTTGGTCCAAAGGTGATATTAAGCAGATCGTGTCAGCAAGAGATGAAAGTTTATGAGCAATTGTGGAGCCAGGCAGCTAAAGTGGAGTGCAAAGAGCAAAGTGAAATAGCAACTTGCTACCGAAACTCATAGCCCCATTCTAAACCCACGTTCCCAGTGGGACACAGGGATTCAAGCTATAGGCTTGTAGTTTCCGTAGCAGTGGTGTTTATTTTTACAGGATGGGGTTACTAGCCTCATGTCCAACCTTTTCTCTTCACCAGCTTTGTTTCTCGCTTAGCAAGGTAAAGGAGTGAGTCGGTGGCCGAGGATCGAACCCCGCACCATGGGCATGGTCAGCGAGCATCCTACCGCTGTGCTACCGACAACCAAGGCCAAATAATAATTATAATTTATAAAACACAAAATAATTGAGCAAAGAATATCCTTTTCGATAAATTCCTCTTCTGCCTCTACAATTATATACATGTTCCATGTGTATCTACCAGTTTAACTGCTCCTATGGAACCAGTTACATAGGCCGTAAAATTAGCCGTGTTTCTCGTCGAATTTCCGAACATCACCCTGTATGGTTAAGCAAAGGACAAACAAAATCTATTCACAGCGCTATTCTATTTCATTTTGTGGATACAGAACACAAGAGTGATGTTAACCGGGCTTTTCAAGTCATTTACAGCAAACCAACAAATCCTAATTTCGCCTTAAGAGTTCGACTACTAAATATTGCCGAGTCTGGCTGTTGGGATCCATATTAACAAGCCTAATTTGTGCGTCCAAAAGAAGTTAGTTCAGACATTATCCTTACCCCGCTGGCCATCTAGGTTTGAATGATCCTCAATTTTTGTGGAATTTTCATAATTTAAGCTGATATTCTATTTGCTGCTATATCTTTATTATTATTATAATTTAAGCATCTCTAATGAACTGTTATTCCATTGTGATCTTACTTTACAAATCGATATTATTTAAAAAGCACACTAATATTGTTATTGACTACTATTCTAGAATATTCTATGTATATAAACATATATATATATAATTGTAGAGCCGGAAGAGGAGGAATTTATTGAAAAGGATATTCTTTGCCCATTTTTTTTGTGTCTCATAGAAGTCCGAATGAATTATAATTTTACCCGTTTTTCGTGATAAAATACAGTAATGAATACAAAATTAAATTATTTTTATTTTCGTATAGTTAGTTAATAACTTACTTTTTCTATTGATATGACATCCGTTTAAAGGATTCCATTCAGCTTCTAAATCGCCTAAACCAGTTACAGGATCACGAGTAATCACTAAAGACAAGAAAAAAAGAAAGAGAAAAAGAGGATATTTAGAAATTATTTTCTGATGGACTGGGACTGGCAGTAAAATCCATCAAAGTACGCCCTTCCACCCTATTCGAGAGAGACTACTATTCTACTGGATGTACCAGCAATCTCCAGTAAGTGGTGACAGTGCTGCCATTAAGGCTAGGACCCAACACCTGTTATTTCATATGTCAAGGGGTTATGCAACGAGTACCAGTTGTTACTTCTTTAGGTCAGTTTGATTTACCCCACGTTGATTGATTAGATCGAAGTGTTCTTAATGGTGTGGTGAGAGCTGTCTGCTAGTCAAAATTGTAGACAAGAATTTACGTCAATGTTTAAGTCCCAAATCAAGGTCATGCGGAAAAGAACAAGAACAAGCTTAACCTTGGGGAACCTATTGACCAATCACAGCAGGCTTAACGCGTGCAAATGCGGTCCGCAAATACATGGCTTAACTTTCTAAGAAACAGTCACAAGCAGTACAGAATAACCTTCAGTAGGAAAACAACCAATCAGAAGAGGTTACTTTTCCGCTAACAATAATGTAGATAAAAATCTATAAATATCTGTTGATTTTCTCAATAAACGATCTGTTGCCTGACGCTTTTCTTCTGTCGTTACAATAGGAGACAGTATGGCTGTCGAAAGAGGTCAGTTTCATTTCTTTGTGTCCCAGATGGAACAGAGGGCTTCATGTTTTGATGCTTCAGTAGTGGTAGTGTCGTCTTTGCAAGGTGAGGTTGTAATCTCAATATCCAGTCTTCTCTCTTGGACTCCTGGCCTACTATCGGTTAGCAGACTAGGTGAGCTTATGGAGTGTATCGACTGGGGGAGGGGGAGATTGAACCAGGACCACCCTCGTGGATGGCGAGCATTCTACCCTTGTTCCATTGACGCCACATAGTGAAGCACACATTAACTTTATGAGGAACTGAAAACACTCATTCCACCTTTTTTCAAGAACAGGATTGCGTACAGTACCATCCTGGGGGGGGGGGTAAAATCACTTAGGTTTCTTAATTCCCATATGGCCCACTGTGATGTGTGAATATGTTGGATGTCAAGGGTGTAGATGGTCACTACTGAGGCTGAATCGCCAGTGTTACGGTAGATGACAAGAGATTTAGTAAAGGACTGTATATTCGCATTTTTGGTGTCTCCATATCTAGGCACAGAATTTCTGTGTTGTGCTAATTCTCATCTTCCTTCATATTGTGTTTCTTTGTGTTCATTTCACGTCTCCCGTGTATCTCCGCATCACATTATTATTTGCTCTCAATTACATCAAATCTATCTCCCTGATATTTAGTGTATTTTATGCTGATGAACATCACTGTATGTATACTACTGATAAATCTTATCAGTAGCACAAACCACACCAGTAGGTGAATGCCACTAGTGTTCTTTCATACCAGGGTTGATTATGTCACTACAATACTGATGAATTTCATCCTTTAGTGACGTAATGTGTGTTCGTCATTAAAGATCATTGGTGAAGTATTTCAAAGGGAATGTATAGAAGGATGAGGACCTCTGTTCTTGTTGAATTACAGTTCAGGAGGAAAAAAATGGGAAGGATATATTCCTGCATAGGCTGCGATTTTTGGTTACAGATGAATACAAGGAAGAGAGGAACGAATTTTCAAGCCATCTTATCATTCAATGCTACGCTTATTTAATAATAATAATAATAATAATAATAATAATAATAATGATAATCTACTTTATTCCAAAAAGGTACTTATCATACAGAATGGAATTCTCAGCATTTGTCACAATATTGCATCTTATTTACTCAAAATATATATAAAATAAAAATAAAATTAACCAGAGGAATTTGTCCACGTTTACAATATAAAGTCAAAAATATTCGAGGTACAAAATGAGAATATTAAATATAATAATAATAATAATAATAATAACAGTGAGTTTGTTTCAAACAGTATTGTCGATTCAGTTTGAAAATTTTAGGGTGTTATAAATTATTGGATCTAATGTTCTGTTGATGTAGTATGGTGAGGGGAAATACAAAATTAACAGTTATTAATACAGTTTAAATGATGTTCACACTTATGAAAAAATAAATAAAAATAAAAACAAAAAATTGAGAGGATTATAATTATAAGAAATACAATAACAATAAAGGTTGATGTTGTAAGGGTGGAGGAAATGGTTTATTTACTAGTGCAAAGAAGGTTAGTTAGTTCATGCCTAACACTGTTTTCATCAAATAAAGCACCTGCCAAATATGGTATAGTGGGACTTTTATACCTAGACGTACGTGCATAGTCTTCTGAACAGGCTTCTTGTTTTACCTGAGGAGACAGAAAGTTGGAGCTGCGGGTAAAGTGGATGCTCACGGTCTGACAAGATTCCTTTAGCGAATTTGTTGCATAACATCAAGTGCCTATCAGTGACAATGTCAACGGCATGGACCAATGGAATACCACTCGCCCTACTGACAGTCGTCAGAGTTCTGCGAAGTATGACAAAGTTTTTTTAAGCAGTCCAGGAAAGAATAAGGGTGAACAGTAAAGAAGAATATGTAAAATACACGAGTTGACAAACTGTGAGAGGAGGAGGGGTTGAGTTATGCCTGAGTGCCTTAACTGCTTAATGCAAAAAGTCAGACGAAATATTCTTTTAAAAATCACTAAAGCATGGGAAGACCAGGATTGGTCAGAAAAAAAGAATTAATCCAAGATACTTAACTTCAGACTCGACTTCTATATCAGTATCACCAATTTTGCAAGGGTTATAGGAAACAGCAGCTTCATTTAACTTTCGTTCACATCGGAAACTGAAATTAACAGTCTGACATTTGGAAGGATTTAGTTTAAGACAGATCATTAGACGAAGACCATTTGCTAACTCCTGATAGAAAGCTGTTCATCTTAGTACAGCCAAGCTGGGAGTTAACAGACACTGAAATATTTAGATCGTTGGCATACTGAACAAAGTTCATTTCATCAGAGTGAGGCAAGTCATGCAAGAAGAAAGAAAACGGAAAAGGAGAAAGGACAGCGCCTTGAGGGACACTAGCCTCAGTAAGCAACGAAGTGGACGACTTTCCCTGACATACAGTGTATTGCTTTCTTTCTGAGAAATAATAATGGAGCCATCTGACAACCCAACAGTCAGTCTGAGTTTCAGCAAGCTTGTTTAACACCTGAGTCTATTGAGTAATGATTCATTTCAGAGAATAGTGTTGGCTACACTGAATTCTGAAGATCTAAGGACCAAAACCACGAATGACAAGCTTTTCTGGTGTCAAGTCATCCAAGAATCTACTGCCCAACAAACATGTAGTAGGAAATAAAGTAGATGGATTGGATATAGGCTGAGGAGACCTCCAGGTCAATTTAGACCCTCGATGGGAACTCAAATGTGAAGTAACGAGTTTGGCATAGGTCCTGTATTGAAATGTAGGGAGATCATGTGAGCAAGAAATGAAAGCCGTTGGACAGTCGTGCATCCAGATGAAACTGGTCATAGGGAATCGAGTACTGTAGATATATACTTCTGGAGTCTTATGATTAATAATAATAATACTGCCGATAATAATAGTTGCCAGCTTTTACTATGTGGCTGAAAGATTTGAAAAAGCATTAAGTGTCAAGATTTAGGCTTTCATATGATTACCATTCACCAAACTGCCTTTCATTTTGTAGTAAGTCATTACTATATTGAAGGCATATAATATTCTTGGACATGAAGCTAATGTATTTCCATGCACTTGACAACAAACCATACCTTTCAGCTAAGGAGGAACGAAACTCCATTATGGATAAGATTTTATTTTGATAAATCACACAGTGTTAGGCAGTCATATATTAACTGATGACACTGTGTGATTTATCGAAATAAAACCTTATCCATAATGGAGTTACACTCTACCACAGTGCCTAAGTTTTATATTTATATCGAGGAAAGTAACTGTCTGGCTACTTAAATCTCCCTAGGTTCAGGAATTAGTGAACTTGAGGTTGTGAATAAAGCAAGAACAGCAGTGGTGTAAACAGAATAATATGGTACCGTCATTGCTTATTTCCTTGGCCTCTCATCAGCTACTTGCAGCCTAAAGAAATTATGAGGGTTGCGTACAGAAAAGTTTCAACATACTTTCAAATTTTACATGATTTCAGTTGACAGGATGTTCCGAACTCAGTGAACAGTGCTCACAAAATTACTCTTATATGGTTTTTATGCAGGGAGTTGAAGTTTAAACAAAATTAATGTATGCATACAATGGTAAAGGAGTTAAGTAATAGAGACGAGAGATGCGTAAGATGCTGAGTGACTAATAAATTAGGTAACAATGTATTGAGTTCAACTCAAATCATAGAAGCAAGAGATAAGCAAAACTGCCAAAGCCAAAGATTAGGTAATCAAATGAAAGAGAGGGAGAGAGAATGAAGACACCGAGTTACTAGGATGGGCAAGGAAAGACTAACAACTGCTTCTTTCTGAACACATAAATCTGGTTTCAAGCGTTTGATAGAAATTGCTTCGGTAAACTTGAGGAGAATCGAGCTCCTTTGTCTATTGATAATTTTAAAGGATTTCGCGATTTCCACCTCATGACCCATATCCATGAGATGACTGGTAATAGTGCTATTATAAGAGTTCGTTCTCTTGAGACGTAGGCTTTTCGGTACATGTTCAGAAAATCGGTGATGTGCCTTTTCTTTCTGTTCTCCCAATGTAACTGCCCCCACAGATACACGTAAATTTGTAACTCGAGATTTGTTTATTTAAACATAATGCCACAGCCTCATGAAAAGTTCAACAGTAAATGTATGAGTTCCATTTCTCGATGTTATCTACAGCAGAGAGTAAAAACTTCGCAACGCGCTATACACTACTGATTAACAGACATAAGTAGTTGGACATGCATCTAGTTTTGATTTCTCAATTACCATTTATAATATCAAGCAGATCATACATTTTGATCTAAATAATTTCCGTTTCTGTGATGAAAT